TAGAGGTTATCACGCGAGTGTGTTTGGGGATGGTAAATATCCTGCATTAGGAATAAACATTGTATTTAGCGAGCCTTGGCGAGCTAAATACATAGTGTTTATTCCTAATACAGGATAATTACCACCCCCAAACACACAAGCGTGATAACCTCTTTATCATATAATGTCATTCTTTAATTCTGTGCTTCAAAATCGCTTTCCCTCTCTCACAAACATTACTGAAACATTGAGTTTTCCTGGAATGCACGCATTAATGTTTATTACGTCACAGGGAGAGTAATGTGTCAGTCGGACAGTGACAGTAGCCAATATAGTTCTAACTGAAATCTGTTTCTTATACAGTGGCGAAGCAACATATACGCAAAACAACAATTGTTTTTATTTGCCTTTCGCAGCAATCCATCGGCCTGTCCGCGAGAGTAACTGCCCTTTGTCAAAGGGAAGCTTCTCTAACCCTATAGTCTATGAGACCTCACGGCCACGATCAGACGTTGTTGACACTCAGTCTGTCATAACGTTCGAAGTGTAGTCAGATGTACACACAGCGACAAAACGAAACAAGGTAATAATTCAAACACATTTCGGCCAAATCCAACTATTTTCATTTGTGGAGAAGGTTTCAAGCCACAGAGGTCTACAAGCACATATGGCTACTGTAAATAATCGAGTCCGGACCAAACAAACTGATTGACATGATGAGCATCGACCCTCGATGACATGTAAACAATCAAGTCAGCAAGCCTATCACCCATCCCTTTAGTCGCATCGTACGTCAAGCATAGGTTGCTGGTGACCAATTATACCCCACGGGTAGGATATAATTATGAACATGTATAGGCGAGTGGGACCTTTGTTCAACAACCCACAACAAAGGATCTGACGCTATTTAGTGATGCGTGATTCTGTTAATTTCACATCCAATCATGATAGAATGATCATTCGTATCAACAGATCAAAATATGATATCTGTGGCGGCAATATTTGCACATTTCCCTGGAGAGATACACATACGTGTTTCACCAACAAAAATGTTAATTCACAGATAGAGGAAATTACATGGTTTTGTGTTCGCAGGACAGGTGTCAATAATTGATTGCCTTTTGTGTGGGAGAATGGTGTTAAACTTTGTATTTAGCATGATATCTTGGCTGTGGGCGAAAAATGTAGCTGAAATCCACGCCTTAGGCATCAAAACGATATGGATACACTAACGCCTAGCCCAACGGAGAGATGGAGGTGGACAGGTAACCTCTGGAAAATGTAGACTCGCGTCATTCATAGCTATAGAGCATTACAGTAAGTGCTGGGCGAAGGGGAACATAACATGGGATTATGACACAGACTGGGATAGCGACGTCTCGCCATTTTGACTTCATGTACTTAAGAGGGGACTATGACCTGGGCCCCTTTCCACAAAGCGAACGTAGCGCTACGACTGTCGTAAGCTAATGTTAAAGTATGGAAGTTACGATCACCTTAGCGCTACGACTGTCGTAAGCCAATGTCAAAGTATGGGTGTTACAATCACCTTAGCGCTACGACTGTCGTAAGCCAATGTCAAAGTATGGGTGTTACAATCACCTTAGCGCTACGACTGTCGTAAGCCAATGTCAAAGTATGGGTGTTACAATCACCTTAGCGCTACGACTGTCGTAAGCCAATGTTAAAGTATGGGTGTTACAATCACCTTAGCGCTACGACTGTCGTAAGCCAATGTCAAAGTATGGGTGTTACAATCACCTTAGCGCTACGACTGTCGTAAGCCAATGTTAAAGTATGGGTGTTACAATCACCTTAGCGCTACAACTGTCGTAAGCCAATGTCAAAGTATTGGTGTTACAATCACCTTAGCGTTACGACTGTCGTAAGCCAATGTTAAAGTATGGGTGTTACAATCACCTTAGCGCTACGATCGCTTTGTGGAACGGGGCCCTGGTTCTATAATCCAGGCTAGGTCCATACCTTGTAAATAGTGTTTGGTGCGCCACTTAGACTATATATGTGAGTAATAATTATTATGATAGTAGTTAACTGTTAGATCGGTATATATACACTATTGATTTGACACACAATGTGGATTTTGAACGGCCTGAATAAAACTTGCGAGGACTACGTTCCACGGGCGGGTGTCCATTTCCAGTCTCGGTTTATGGGTTGTAATTGGTTCCATGGGTAAAACTGTCTCCTTTATTAATAAGGATATTCATGAACTATAATACTGATAAATATATTTGGACCAAGTTGACACTGAAGTGCTTTCACACTCTGCAAAAGGTCTCGCGCATTTGTCCCCTTTAATACATGCAGGCTTCATTGGTCTATAAATCACCAGCCTTTTACCTCCCAAAACAACCCCTGATGAACTTGGTTAGAATTTGTGTTCGGAAACATATGCTTGTCTTAAGAGGCGACTAACTTGCTTTGATCGATGCACTTCTCCCAAATGCGTAGATGGATGCTCTTGTTGTTAGTCACTGGGTTGTCTGGTTCGATTATTTACAGACCACCGTCGTATAGCTGGAATAGTGTTGAGATTACGGAGAGGCAAACTGGGAATAGCGGGGTATGAGCTATTGCCTCAAATATACATCGGTGCAAAGTTGTTACAGATCACACGCTTCCCCCGTTATGCAACCTTACAACCATACCCAATACGAAAAGTTGTCTTAAGAGCATTCAGCAAATGAAGTCATGTCTGTGCATGTAGACAGCTGTCCATCTGAATGTATTTCTTCGTTGGGGGAACGCCATGGGGGTTCCGGGGAGAATAGATCGCCAACTGACTTATGTCGGGTGTCTTAAGAGCCGAATAAAAGGCTTGGGTGGTTCACTTGTTATAATCAGCGACCTGCCGAAGAGTTGCTCTTCAAACCAGTGGTTTGCCTGTCCAGTAGCAAATGACACTATATTTGTTTAACGCTGCACTCCTCAATACTCTAGCTTTATGACGGCGGCATGTAAACAATCAAATCTGGGCGAGACAATCCAGTGATTAATATGGTGAGCAACGATCGACGCCGTCGGAAAACGTTGACACGCTATAAACCAGTCACCGAACCTGACCACCCGATCAAATAAAGTCACATCTTACGAGGAACTGCTCTAACATGGAATCCCCACGTCACAACCATTCAACTTCACAAGTCACGTACAGCCGTGCCCACTATGAGAAGTCATCCATGGAGGAACAGAAATGTCGTCTGCTGACCTACCAGCAGCGGATGGTCGTCAGTAACTTGGGTTGCGTAACTTGTATTTCCTGTTACGGGTTGGCGGAAGTATTTACAGTTCATAATGGACATCTTCCGTCAGTTGACTGCTGCCATGAACCGCATCCAAATAATAAACTCAATATTTGAGTTGGTGACCACGGCGTGTTATAGCTTGATGTTCGAGAAAAATGATGCAGTTCTTAGACGTTTACTAACTCAGTGTCTTACACTTCCGTTCACAAAGAAGCTGCGGTTGCAGTATTCACTCATCCGTTCCTTTCTATGAGCTTTCTATGACTCCACTGGGACTTCACATGACGACCCGTAGCCTAGTAGTGACATGCAGAAAAACTGATATCAAACAGGGTACGGGCGAGGGGATACGGTAACCACAGCTAGTTGATATATTCATGATAGTAGCACCACCTTTCCAAGTCGCTTTTTGTCCATGGGGAGACGCCTTCAACATGGTCAAGTTTGTGAATAAAATTGTTCCCATTAAAGTGTTTTCTTTAATGCCTGAGTGTCAGACAATCCATTGGTCTAATGACCACGAACCACACCATCTGGTGTACTATGACGCCCCATCAACCAAGCCACGGAGCCTAAACACGCTCCATCAATGTGTCTCTTACTCCATCATAGGTTGGTGGGGATCAAATCTAAACCGGAATACATGTTTTAAAATCCGCAGATAAATTGTCCATGAGACATCACACACTTAACATTTTACACTGTAAGTGAATTAGGAGATAAACATATAATTTGGAACCGAATGCGCAGGGTGAGGTTTCAAATGTTAAATACAGCGGAGTTAAATCTACAAGTAACCTAGTTCTACATTGAAAACACAGTATGTTTATCTCTCTCTACCCTGACTTAATATAAAGCGAACTCTTTGGTGTTAGCAAATATATTGAGTGAAGCGGCATGGGTTGAATCCAGTGTTTTTTGTGGGTTGTCGATCTGAATTAAGAATCATCGACAACAGCCTGTAAACAAAATATGGCGCTGTATATACTCAAGCAGTTTGTTAACACCGTAATACTTCACTCGAACGCATGGCAGGCATTAAAAGCATATAAGCACGGCAACTTGATAAGCTAATATGAGGTAGCCATCCCTAAAGAAAACTAAGCAAGCTTTGCAAGGCTTTCGTTCTGAACCAAACATCACCATTCTGCTAAAAAAATGTTTGATTTTGGTTACAGCATTCAAGGCTACAGTAACGTCTTCAAAATGAATTATAATGTACATCTAGAGGACTTGTGCTTGTTGACTTGTACGACATGTTCCTTTTTTTCTAGTTAACAATTGACTTGCATTTCCCGTTCGTTTCCAAATTCAATTTATCGTGGTTAAATATACAGGTAACCTAGCTCTACATTGAAAACACAGTATGTTTATCTCCTAACTATTGAATAGTCTTGATACCATGATGAAAATGATACCATGTTTGTGAAAAGGGAAGCTTATCCTGCCCCATCTGTGGCACCAACACATGCAAATGCACGTCAAACACAAACATGTCAAACACAAACATGTCCGTACAAGTCAACAAGTACAAGTCCTCCACGTGTATATCATGAAACATTTTGAAAGTTTTACTGTGGCCTTGAATGTTGTAACCAGGGTGAAACAACTTTTCAGCAGAATGCATATGGCAAACTAACTATACTTACATTTTAATTAACAGGTAATGGACAAAATGAAGTGGTTTTAGTATCTTGCTTCTGTGTCCTGTTTCTGTGTCAGGCATATCAGATTATAACTCTTGAACAAATTCAGTGTCATCACTGGTGGGAACAACATTTTCCCAATATTTATTGAGGAGAATTGGTTCAGTAATGACAAACAGATAGACAAATAGATGGACTGTGGACAAAGGCACATGACCTCAGCTCACAGTGAGGTAAATAAAAAACGTCAATGCCAGAGAATAACCAGTCTCAGTTATCCATCAAAACAGAATCCACTGGGTCTAAAAGGCAAAATAGTGATGACAAGTTGATGAATGGATCACTGAAAATCAGTGATGACACCAGGTGTTTGCCAAAAGGGTAAATGCTTGTCCTGCCGATAGTCCCTGCCACTCACACAATTTGCATATGCATGTGTGTTTTTCGCAGCCAAAAAATGCTAATATGATCACTTCCTTCAAACATCAAAACAACTGGCCAAAGTTTTCCTTGTGTGTCACATTGCAAATCAATACATTTCACAGATGCATTCTTATAATACCTCATCTCCGAGTAAATTACATACCTTTATAATATTGTTACCTACAGATTAAAACGGAAGCCTTTCCCTTACAGTAAAGCAGTTTCTAAGAGAAATAACAGAGTCAACAAACCACAGCTTTATTTAACAGGTATCCCTGTCAGCATGGTCTAGCTGCTGACATGACACAATCAATCATCAAACTTGATCTTCTTGCCTTTGAATGTCTGTATGCCACTTTGTTCCTTCTTCCTCTTACTGGCCTCCCACGATGGGTGGAGGGAGGAGGAGGAGGAGGCGTGGCCACCTGACTGCCTGGCTGCCGATTTGTCTGAAACCAATGTAGGGAAGCAAGTGATGAGGAATTCAGCATGATCAGCAATAAATCACTACATTACGGCAGTACGTGACTTGCTGAAGGACCAACCATTTGATATTGTGTGCACGGCGAATGTTATTTTGAGGCAGGAAATTGTTCCTTAAAATACTGGAAAAGATTAAATTCAAGTCACGAAAATAGAAATTGTTTGCTGGTCATTCTGGATGTCCTGAAAAAAGGAACAGTTGCGTGCAGATCATCCTTTCAAAGAAGTAGTCTATCTTGAAAACATTTCCCTTCCAGCTCCCCCCTGAATAGCAAATGGTTGGTCCCGCGAGTCCATATGCACGCTGCTTACGAATAACATAGATAATAGTAGGTTTCTGATTGGCTCGTTACATGGACCTGCTTGCATACAAACTATCTTTGCTGGGAAGTTTGTAACTGAAGAGATTTACCTATGATTCTGAACTAAAGTACTGTTGGAAATGCTAGAAAAATGTGTTTTTGGCTTCATTTAATAAATACGAATCACAGGGCTATGACAATTGCCTAAATAAAAATAACACAAATCTACCTAATCTAGCTCATCCTAATGGACACTAAACAGGTACTTTTACGAGTAAAATCATGATGAACTTAGAAAATATTTGTGCATTGTTATGCATGCATGTAAAGCCTGATGTCAGATATTCCCGCATGGTCGCCTTCAGACTACTCATGGTCGGGACGACAGTATCTGGTTCCGGACGTTATAACTGGCGTTATCCGTGACAATGACTCTGGGGTTGTTCCGATTGGGCAGTAGCTGATGTTCCAACCAATCTGGAAACACATCACCATTCACTATCTCATGATAATCACCAGTTTTCTCATTTGCTAAGAAAAACTAGCTCATATCCATCTACAAGCCCCAGATCAAGGGTTCACTGCAAAACAGTGACACCATTGCTCTTATCTGATGCCACCATGGTTGGTTTTTGTCCAACTGACAGTAGCCACATGTAGTGATGATTCTTATTCACCCTGGTTGGATAACAAATGATCTTTAATCCCTGACTGTATAGTCATGAGTGGTGCAGAGATAGTGTGACCTCATACACAGGATGGAATATGTTCCCTGAAAACTGCTCGGCCATTGCCAGGTGCAGTGTATCAAAAGACCATCTCGTGGAGAACAATAATTAATGTAATCTGGGAAACATTAATTGTGTCTTTAATTTCTCGAATTCTACTTAAAGTCGGGGGTACCTCCTGCTCATAAAGCTTGTACACCGTACTCCTAATCACCCCTGTACCAAAGCTGTCTAATATCCTTTTACATCCTGTTTTGTTTTTCAGACAGTCCCTAACTTCTTTGTTTTATTTATCAAACTGTAGTCTTGTTTGTATGAAAGCCCCAGAGCTTGGGCAGTTAGGTAATACACGCTGTCTAAACTAATCTATGGTTTCCCTCTGTCTCCCTCAAGTGCAAATAACTTATAAATACATGTATAAACATTGCCTACTACAGACTCCTGTCATATACCATGGCTATGGCTATGCAGGGGTAATGCAATATGCATCACGGAAGGAGTGTCGACAAAACAAATGCAATGTCATTTTGCTATTTTCTGAGTTGCACATCTAGAATTTTCTCCCATTGACTTGTATTTGGTAGCTTAGATGTTTTATGAATGCTACACTATTAGTATTACTATAACGAAGACACATATTTCTATAGTCCGTTTCAGACTTCCCTCACTGGACTTAATGGGAAATTGCTGTCTTCACTCGAATATTTCTCCTGTAAAATTGTCAATAGGACTCCTTGTGACTGAAATACTTCAAACCTAAGATAAGTAGATTGGTAATTACTTGATATTTCAATGGTTTGTTTGTTTGTTTGTTTGTTGTTTAACGCTGCACTCAGCAATATTCCAGCTATATGACGGCGGTCTGTAAATAATCGAGTCTGGACCAGACAATCCAGTGATTGACAACATGAGCATCGATCCACGCAATTGGGAAACGATGACATGGATCAACCAAGTCAGTGAGCCTGACCACCTGATCCCGTTAGTCGCCTCTTTCGGCAAGCATAGTCGCCTTTTACGGCAAGCATAGGTTGCTGAAGACCTATTCTACTCCGGATCTTCATGGGTCTATTACAATGGTAGCTTTCTGTGAAACATTCTTGTCTTTATGGGCAAAAGCCTTTTTGCATTTTCTGACAGTACATTAAGTGCCCTTGGCAGGCTTGTTTGGACCAAAAAAAATATTTTGTTCACAATAGGGATTTAGTTCTTATTTTCTTAAATTCAGAGGTATATTAACATTGCATTCAACATGTTCCCGACAATAACATCTCACTAAGCATTAAGTCTCTTCCTCTACTGGTCCTGTTATCAACATGAACAATGAAATACAAAGCACCTGTACCCAGTCATACCAGTTATTGCAAGCCACCTACCTGTACCCAGTCATACCAGTTATTGCAAGGCACCTGTACCCAGTCATACCAGTTATAGCAAGCCACCTACCTGTACCCAGTCATACCAGTTATTGCAAGGCACCTGTACCCAGTCATACCAGCTATTGCAAGCCACCTACCTGTACCCAGTCATACCAGCTATTGCAAGGCACCTGTACCCAGTCATACCAGTTATTGCAAGCTACCTGTACCCAGTCATACCAGCTATTACAAGGCACCTGTACCCAGTCATACCAGCTATTGCAAGGAACCTGTACCCAGTCATACCAGTTATTGCAAGGCACCTGTACCCAGTCATACCAGCTATTGCAAGGAACCTGTACCCAGTCATACCAGCTATTGCAAGGCACCTGTACCCAGTCATACCAGTTATTGCAAGGCACTTGTACCCAGTCATACCAGTTATAACAAGGCACCTTTACCCAGTCATACCAGCTATTACAAGGCACCTGTACCCAGTCATACCAGCTATTGCAAGGCACCTGTACCCAGTCATACCAGTTATAACAAGGCACTTGTACCCAGTCATACCAGTAATATCAAGGCACCTGTACCCAGTCATACCAGTTATTGCAAGGCACCTATACCCAGTCATACCAGCTATTGCAAGGAACCTGGACCCAGTCATACCAGTTATAACAAGGCACCTGTACCCAGTCATACCAGCTATTGCAAGGCACCTGTACCCAGTCATACCAGCTATTGCAAGGCACCTGTACCCAGTCATACCAGCTATTACAAGGCACCTGTACCCAGTCATACCAGCTATTACAAGGCACCTGTACCCAGTCATACCAGCTATTGCAAGATACCTGTACCCAGTCATACCAGTTATTGCAAGGCACCTGTACCCAGTCATACCAGCTATTGCAAGGCACCTGTACCCAGTCATACCAGCTATTGCAAGGCACCTGTACCCAGTCATACCAGTTATAACAAGGCACCTGTACCCAGTCATACCAGCTATTGCAAGGCACCTGTACCCAGTCATACCAGCTATTGCAAGGAACCTGTACCCAGTCATACCAGCTATTGCAAGGAACCTGTACCCAGTCATACCAGCTATTGCAAGGCACCTGTACCCAGTCATACCAGCTATTACAAGGCACCTGTACCCAGTCATACCAGCTATTGCAAGATACCTGTACCCAGTCATACCAGTTATTGCAAGGCACATGTACCCAGTCATACCAGCTATTGCAAGGCACCTGTACCCAGTCATACCAGCTATTGCAAGGAACCTGTACCCAGTCATACCAGTTATTGCAAGGCACCTGTACCCAGTCATACCAGCTATTGCAAGGAACCTGTACCCAGTCATACCAGTTATAACAAGGCTACTGTACCCAGTCATACCAGCTATTGCAAGGCACCTGTACCCAGTCATACCAGCTATTGCAAGGCACCTGTACCCAGTCATACCAGTTATAACAAGGCACCTGTACCCAGTCATACCAGTTATTGCAAGGCACCTGTACCCAGTCATACCAGCTATTGCAAGGAACCTACCTGTACCCAGTCATACCAGTTATAACAAGGCACCTGTACCCAGTCATACCAGCTATTGCAAGGCACCTGTACCCAGTCATACCAGCTATTACAAGGCACCTGTACCCAGTCATACCAGCTATTGCAAGATACCTGTACCCAGTCATACCAGTTATTGCAAGGCACCTGTACCCAGTCATACCAGCTATTGCAAGGCACCTGTACCCAGTCATACCAGCTATTGCAAGGCACCTGTACCCAGTCATACCAGTTATAACAAGGCACCTGTACCCAGTCATACCAGCTACTGCAAGGCACCTGTACCCAGTCATACCAGCTATTGCAAGGAACCTGTACCCAGTCATACCAGTTATAACAAGGCACCTGTACCCAGTCATACCAGCTATTGCAAGGCACCTGTACCCAGTCATACCAGCTATTGCAAGGCACCTGTACCCAGTCATACCAGTTATTGCAAGGCACCTGTACCCAGTCATACCAGTTATAACAAGGCACCTTTACCCAGTCATACCAGCTATTGCAAGATACCTGTACCCAGTCATACCAGTTATTGCAAGGCACCTGTACCCAGTCATACCAGCTATTGCAAGGCACCTTTACCCAGTCATACCAGCTATTGCAAGGAACCTACCTGTACCCAGTCATACCAGTTATAACAAGGCACCTGTACCCAGTCATACCAGCTATTGCAAGGCACCTGTACCCAGTCATACCAGCTATTGCAAGGCACCTGTACCCAGTCATACCAGCTATTGCAAGGAACCTGTACCCAGTCATACCAGCTATTGCAAGGCACCTGTACCCAGTCATACCAGTTATAACAAGGCACCTGTACCCAGTCATACCAGTTATTGCCAGGCACTTGTACAACATGTACTAATTCATGACCAACTGGCAACAGCCATAACATGAATTCTGAAATGTGTAGTTCCAGTTTGGGAATAGTCTACTGCCTTGGGTCTGAATATCGGCCTGAGTGAGTGAGTGAGTTTGGTTTTTACGCCGCTTTTAGCAATATTCCAGCAATATCACGTTGGGGGACACGAGAAATGGGCTTCACACATTGTACCCATGTCAGGAATCGAACCCAGGTTTTCGGCGTGACGAGCAAACGCTTTAACCACGAGGCTATCCGACCGACCCCAATATCGGCCTGAGAGCAAGTCTGGTAACTCCCTGAACTTCTGTACTCACAATACTCATGAGTCATGACAGCTGGTTGCTGTGACTGCTAAGACTGCTTTGTGCATGTGGACCCTGGGTATCGTTGCAACTACTGCCTGGTACCCATCGTGTGCACTTCCCTTACAGTGTTATGATAAGTGCATAAGCCAGCATGGCCAATCAGTGTAATCACTGTTGCTGTTCACTTTACTTGCAGAGAGTCCTCAAAAACTTTAGATAGATTATCTCATTTTCAGTTAGTTTTTTTAATTAAAAGTTTTTTTCTATAATATTCTGCCTGGCAAGGGTTACCATAGTTATATTATTTTGTTATTTTCAATCCGTGTAACCTAAAGCAATGAAAATAATGAAGAGAACAGGAAGTTTTGGATGCGACGTTGTTTTTAAACCTACGAGCATAAGGATGACACCAGGTTACATATCAAGTGGTTTCACATGTCCAATCTTAAGAGACATTTAGTTCTTATCAAAACTACTCTACATCTCAGGTTGCCAGACCTCACACACACCACCATATCTGTATCAATGTCAGCTGTGATACTGGATGACAAGTCCTGGGGACCCATTTTACGGGGAATTCCATGACGTTGTAGAGATTATTCTGAGAAGACCAACAGAGGCTGATATTCATCCCCAAGTCGTAAACAAATGTCAGCAAAAACTCCCGGTTTATGTTTATATAATTATGGTGCAACAAATGTTCTGGCTTTCAGAAGTGACTTGTATTGAGACCAAGAAACAGGGTGAGTGAGTGAGTGAATATTGCTTAACACCGCATCAGCAATTTGCCAGTTATTCGTGGCGATGAACACAGGGTGAAGCTTTAATATAGTTAAACTTTATTAGATAAAATGCAATGTTAAAATACTCCATAACAATACCTCTCATTTTAATGAAAAATAAACATGATAAACTTTTCTAAAATATCTATTTTTTAACAAAATAATAATTCCCAAATTTGCCTGACAAGAGTTCTTAGTTTCTGGTGTGACATAATGTTAACACTGAGTTTCATGCTGCTGTGAGTGTGCAAGCGAGCAGGCATGTGTGGATTTATGCTGCATTAATCATGAATATCGGAGTCAAGAAGCGGGGCACTAGAAAGGGGATTCTCACATGGTACTCCTGTTTTTATGGAATGAAACCCATGATGAGGTTATATGAGAAGAATATTCCAATTCATCCCAGTCCTCAGGTTTTGAGTGAGCACACAAACCAGTGGGTGATAGCGTGAGCATCACTTCAACCTGGCTGGCATCAAACTATTACATGGTCACAGACAAGTGACGGCTGAGTGATGGTCCAGGGTTTGAAACGAGATAACGTAACCGATGTCTCCCAGGACTCATCATTCCCGGGGTTGATTGCTTGATGCATGCTGTAGTGCTGTTTCTCAAGCATACCCAAGCAGTACTTTACCAGAAATGTTTGACTCAAGATTTAGAAAGGTTAGTTCATGTATATGTTTACCTCTGTGGTGGCGAACACCAAACCATGAACAGTGGACTTCAAACACTGAATACATTAGAGAACAAAACCCAACGTATGGTGAACCAGCACTAGGCAACCCCTCCATGCCTGAGGCAGAAAACACATAAACGACTCACCTTCTTGTTTCCCTAGTGACGTCCTTGGGGCTGCGCTGGTATATGAGTTACCTCCCCTGTCTCTAGAGCTGCAAATATATTTGAGTTGATAAGCACAACACAAGCTGACATTAACACCTTTGCAATGTGAAACATCAAACATGTCAAAACAGAGCAACAAGTTGCCTCAATAACATGGATATGATTACGACTGTAATATTTGCTCTTAGTACCAATACTACACAATCATCACATCTTAGTGGTGTTCATTTGTACACGTACAATTAATCAACATGATCATGCCGATATGATTAGTTGTGATTCTTTTCATCATCTGCCAGTGTCACAGACCAGGATGGGCCAACTCAAGCGCGACCACAGTGTGTGATTAAAATATCCTGATTTGACGTAAATATGTGTATCACAATACGTATCACATCATGATCCTATGTATCATGATGTATCATGATGTATCATGATACGTTACCCCCAAACACAACAATTATTGTGACACGTAAAACAATCAGGTGGTTTCCTGATAATGGATTGGACAGGTCAACTTTTTATTTTGGGTGAAACGATACACCAAGATCACGATACAGAACATATCATGATACATAGGATCACGCTGCGATACGTATCGTGATACACATATTTATATTTATTTCAAATGGACTTCTTGAATATAAATAGTTCAGAGCAAGTTCAAAAGGAAAAGCTAGCTGTAGACACATGTTCGTAATGGCTAATTTGGGTAGTATACTTGGAAACAAGTAGTAAATTTATTTTAGCAAGCGTATGATCTTGCATCGAAACAGAAAAAAAACGTAATGTGTATCATATCGTTGCATAAAAACTTACAATGCACCGGTGCACCGATATATTGTTTCATCCCTACTGTTTATTTTGCATATCTATGGAAACTCAAACATGGTCTGTGAAGTAAATGAAATATGTACAAAATGTAATAAGTTACCTCTGATTATCCAGGTTATGCCTGTCTTTTCCTTGGTTGGATCCACGACCTCTGAAACTTGACCCTTGTCCCCTGAACTCTGATCCTCTGCCTCTACCCTCGAATCTTTGAAATTTGTCTCTTGGAAAGTCTGATCTATTTTTGCCATCATATCCTCCTCTATAATCACCCCGTCCTCCTCTGTAATCACCCCGTCCTCCAAAATCACCACGTCCTCCTCGAAAATCACCACGTCCTCTGAATCTATGTCCTCTGTTACCATCACTTTGTCCTCTGACCCCAGATCCCCGTCCCCTACCTCTACCCCTGTCCGACCAACCACCTCTTTTCAATTGATTTTTATGAGCCAAAGTACCAATAAATGTAGATTTAAAAGTACTTGGACCTTCCTCTTCATCTTCATCATCACTGCTGTTGTCCTGAGAAGATGCTTCATCCTCATCAACATCCTCAGCATCAGATTCATCCTCACTGCCAGCAAAGAAAGCATCTCTGGTTTTCTTTACTTCTGGAGTCAGTAGAATCCCTGGTACATCTTCAGGGAACTTTTTAACCTTTAAGTCCTCATCATTTTCTAAATCTTCAAGATTTATTTTTTTCACGACCATAATTTTATTTTTCTCCTTCCTTTTATCATGTTTAGATGCTTTTGTTGCTGGTGTTTTCTTTTTGTCTTCATTTTCCCTTTGAATTTCATCGGTTTGGGTGTCAGATTCAATAAGCTCTTCCTCTGTCATATCTTCCTCCGAGTCAGAATCATCACCACCCGAGTCTGCAGGTAACATTTGTTTTGTGATTTTAGACTTTATTTTTGCCTTCTGTGCAGATTTGCTTGCATCTTTCTTAACTTCATCTCCACCAGATGACTGTCCTGAGTCAGATTCAGACTCACTGTCACCATCCTTTGATGAAAACATCTGCTGAAGTATCTCAAGCTTCAAGCCCCCTTTCTTCTTGCTTCCATCCTTCTCACTTCCTACCTTACCTTGGTTCTTCCTGTCATCAGAACCTTCTTGCAAGGGAGACTTCTTCAGAGACTTTTCCTGAGTAGTCCTCTCCTCAACATCCTCACTATCCCCACTGTCACTATCATCCCATGTTTTCAGAGGCTCCTTGCCTACACCACTAAAACACAAACTCCTGTCCTGCTTAACACTGCTTCTTTCGGTCACCTTAGTCCTGTCATCTCCTTCACTGTAAATTCCTTCACTGTCATCTCCTTCACTGTCAACTCCTTCACTATCAACTCCTTCACTATCAACTCCTTCTTCACTATCGCCCTCAGATGGTGTCGTGTTCCCAGAATCTCCACCATTTTCAGCCTTTTTTTTGTCAAGATTCTTTTTCTGTTTTTCCTTCCTTAACCTCCCAGAATTTTTAATTTTTTCAATGTCCACTTTCTTCTCTAGTTTATTTTCTAAATATGCCTCCATCATGGCCTCCCTGGCTTTGACGTTGGTGTCCACTTTCTCGGCGGTGGATCTATTCTTCTTCTTCTTGTATCGCCGCCCGCTCTGCTTCATTAGGAGAAAGGCAGAGAGAGATTTCCAGTCAGGGTGAGTGTCCCTGAACTTGGTCACCTCTGTCTGTATGACTTCGTTCTCAGAGACACGGGTCAGAGCTCGAGACTGGATGGATGCATTGTCCTGCTGGAAACAAGCAAATACTTCATGAGTGTGTGAATGTTCAAGGGTTGACAACGTATTAGCAATTTTCCATAAATGCTGTTGACAGACATTTATATCTTGAACACTTCCTATCTACAGATTATAACCATGGTAACAAGCTTACAAAGTGTCCGAAATAATTATGCTTTAAACATTTCTAAAACTATTAAATTAATCCCATTCTTCAAAATTAAGCAATGAGTTGAATCTGTTCTGTCCCAATATATTAAATTAAATTTCTAAAAATGAAATAACTTCACACAGACTGAAAATGGATTTAAAGGACTCTTTCATACACAACACATTTCAAAATGGTTCAGTAATTGAAACAAATGTTTATCAGAATTGTATTTGTTCTAATGTTCATACTATGGACCTGATACATCTTAAAGGGTTATAGGATTACCTTGCAGAGTTCGACAAAGGATGTGGTGTTGCCAATTGCAAACTTGGAGATCTTGTCAGCTTTCAGGTGCTGCAAAATGGTAAACCTACTTTACAAACACTACTGTTCATCATGTTCACAACACAAACACATCACACATCATTACACTTCACTGAACATCTACCTTTGTAGTGATAGGATTTACACAACATTAGGCACTCTTTCACAACTCTTCACCGGAACCTGAAGATTGTTGCCATGGTAACTGAAGACCATATATGATCAGTAGGATCAGAAAAAAACATGTCAAATGTTTTCAGCTGATATCAGACAGGCATGGCGAGTAAAAAAAGTAAATCACATTGTATTCTAACACACACAATACACAATGTTGCAAAATTATACTTCCAAAATTCAAAAACTCATCACAAATATGTCTACCAAATGCTTTTTATTTATGTATAGAAGATGTTATGAGTGAGTGAGTATGGTCTTCCGCCAATTTTAGCAACATTCCAGAAATATCTCAGCGGGGGACAACAGAAATGGGAATAGAACTTGGGTCTTTGGTGTAACAAGCGAACCCTTTAACCACTAGGTTACCCTACTGCCTCCAGGATGTTATGATGTTCAAATGTTTGTTTGTTGTTTAATACTGCAACATTGAGCAATAATCAAGCCATATGATAACTGCCTGTACATAATCAAGTCTGGACCAGACAAACCATTGACTCATATTATGAACAACAATCCACTTGATCAGGATACATAGATATCGAGCCGACCAACCGATCTATTAAGTCACCTCTGAATGCCAGCATTGATGCTGGGGACAATTCTGAAACAGAATCCAGACGGAATAATTTCGTATCTGACCTTGATGGCATGGATCTCCTCCACCAGACGCTCGGCTTTCCTCGTGTTCTTCTCAACCATGACAGGAGTGCCCCTGACACAACATTACACACGATGACAATCATACAAGTACACATAGTATACATACATATATACAAATATGCTGAAACATTCACCTTCAGCATCATTATTATGGTACATGATACACTTTTTTTTATAATTGTAAGACCAAGGGAGATAATTTTCAGTAATGTTCGTGTATTATGCACAAGGGACAGAACTCTAGATTATCATGAACGGAAGTACCTGTGACCATGATGACCAATTGATTTGTCGAAACATGAATGTCAACTTGAACATAGTATTTGTCTTTTTGAGACAGTTTTTTTAAAGCACTGAGCAATCACAAAAGAGTTGTCAAAGACAAAGCAAGTGTAAATTTGATCATATGTTTTCATTTTTGATGAAAATAAGCATGATCATGGTTTTCAGCGTTAGAAATTGGCACTAGTCCTGTAGTCCTTGCCAAACTGCCCAATGGTAAAGGTATCATAAGGACTAGTAGAAATGTGCCCTTTTAAGGGTTTTGCTATATGTTATCATTATAAGGACTAGTGGATGAAAACTGTTAGTTTCTAACCCTGGTTTTGTTTGTTTGTTGTTTAATGCCACGCTCAGCAATATTCCAGCTATATGACGGTAATCTGTAAATAATGGAGTCTGGACCAGACAATCCAGTGACTGACATCATGAGCATCGATCCACGCAATTGGGATATGATCACATGCATCAACCAAGTCAACGAGCCTGACCACCAAATCCTATTAGTCGCCTCTTACGACAAGATTGGGATGCTGAAGACCTATTCTTTACCTGGATCTTCACGGGTCTCATGATCATATGGGATTCAATAAATAAGTACATGAAGTATGTAACAGCTTATCTGGGGTCCCTGTTGAGTGAATAATGGTAATCATGGTAATAAAACACATTATCATCATAACATTGTGTAGGCATCAACAGGTTAAAGTGCACCCGCAAATGTTGTGCTGTGAAGGAAGGTGCAACCATTCATATTCATTATGTTTACGTATGTCACAAATGTATTTGGTACGAACTGACATTTTGTATGCCCCCCATGTTATATGCTGGTCAGTCTGGTAGTGATATGATGGATATGCCATGAATGCATCATGAGCATTGAATATGTTGGTATACATATGGTTGATGTAGTTTGAAATTCCTACTGTAGCATCTGGTAAGCCATAATAAAGGGCTGTAGATTGGGCAGTAGCACTCTTATAACAACAAATCAAACTATCTGTATCTTACATAGAAAATAATGAAATGAACATATACTTAATCATATAAATTGTACTCAAATGTCTGTGTATAGGTACAAGTGAACAAGATGAAATAGAATTTATCAAGACCTACTTTTTCTTCTTGAGGGATTCGATACTGCGGACAAGTCTTCGGATGACACGCACCTTTGCTTGTTTCACACGTTTCCTCATTGTTACAATCTGAAAAGAGTTAAATAATTGTAGCATGTGACACATGAACGTGTTTAGTTTAAAGCATGTACACATGGTCATAGCAAGCAGGGTGAGTGATTTTGGTTTGGAGACATGCAGATGTGAATGAGCTTGTAACTGATGTCCACAAATCACTGGAAACTGACAACCTCTTAAAAGTTATGGTAAAATACTCAAAAACACCTTGAAATCTAAAAAACACATAATGTTTATTGACATTACACGAAATCTACCAGTTATTTTCCTTTTTCTCAGCACTCTCTTTGTACAAAAACAGACAGCAAACAATAGATGACTTCAAGTTCATGGCATTCCCTGTATTTACTGATAGGCCTAGTGATACAGTGATGGACATAACTGATAGACAACACCTATGATTATGCTTTGTTTGTTTGTTTGTTTAACGTCACACTCAGCAATATTCCAGTATTATGACAGCAGTCTGTATATTATCGAGTCTGGACATGGCAATCTAGTGATTGATATGAGGATATATCCACACAACTGGGATACGATCTAAAGCATTTACCAAGTCAGCAGCCTAACCACCTGATCCCGTTACCCGACTCTTTAACGACAAGCATGGGTTGCGGAAAACTAACCCCGATCTTCATGGGTCTATGCTCAAGCAAGCAATTAATTGTGTTTGTATGAAAATTTGGTTGTGGTTATATCAGACGCCACTGTTGGAAACAACGGGGAAGCATTCATTAGTGTCTTATAGATCGCTAGGTGTCGGCCTAGCTGTCTTAATCGTAATTATGTACATAACTTGAATTTGAAAGCCAGCAGTCGTCAGCTGGTGGTCACAGCGCACAACTCACGTTGTTGTTTAGAGACATCAAGTCTATTGAGGCCGTTTCGGCCACATCTAGACTTCTTGGTTTGTCAGTCGACATGTTGATCGTAGATGATTAACGAACTGGAATCACATATACAGTTGATATTTCAGACTGGTCGTATTCTGCTGGAGATTTCTTGAGAACCCATGCCTTTGCCATAAACGAAACCTGAAGCCAACAGCCGTTCGCTGTTATTGCGACATCCCGGGTGCCATCACGTTGTAATACCAATAACTCTGAAACGTTTTTTTGCGTGTACTTGAAACAATGAGTGTATTTTGAAAAATATAATACATTAAAGGAGGACTTTACTAATATGAAGCTACACGAGTCGTCTAAAAGGGAGACAACTCTTCAAAGCTTTAGCGAATCCTTGTTGTTCCAATAATGGAGGTACGAAGGTGGGATCGATCCTGTGCTGACCGAAATCAAACAAAATGGACAAATCATTTCAAACTATTTTTTTGTTAAAATATAATTTTCTCTGAGATAATTGTGACGATATTATTTATTTAACATTTGTTTCTAATATATATCACCAGGGCTCCTGTCACACAAAACAAGGGCTGGGTTCTGTTCCACAAAGCGATCATACTCGTAAGTCTATGTTACAGTATGGGAGTAACGATCACCTTATCACTACACTAGCTTTGAAACACATACTTACAACTGTCGTGCTGTGATCACTTCATGGAATGGGGCCATGAAGTATATAGGAGTTCTGATCATCTTAGTGTTAAGATTGCTTTGTGGACCTGGACCCAGTGGTTTAGTGTAGGCTAGTCCTTCGGTTTGTTAACAAATCACAGGACTGATCGCAGGAGTTGTTTTTATCAAGAAATAAATCTTTATCTGCTGAAGTAATAACAAGTTTGGATTCAGCATCTGTTATACCAGGGAATATAAAATAATGTCTCCTAAAACTGTAACAAGTGTTATATATGGGATAACACTTTCTTTGTAAATTACAGATTCTAGTACTTTTGTACAAACTGTTGTACAAATGATGTGATGAAAAGTTGGTTTCCTATGTTTCTGACCATGGAATCTGTTTCTTTGAAATCATTTTAGTGAGTGAATGAGTGATTTGGGTTTAACGCCGCTTTTAACATTATTCCAGTTATATCACTGTGTGTCAGCTTAATGTTGGAGGAAAGCCCGAAGTGATGCAGGTCTCAGACGTTTACCACTTCGGTGAAACCCACGAGCATGGTGCTGACAAACCTAGAAACATAATTGGGGCGAATTCCAACCCACAATCATTGGTTTCTGGCGTGCCCAAGGGACGCAACTCTGCACAGCGAATCGCGGCGCCTTAGGCGACTGGGCCACCCGTGCCCCCGAAATCATTTTAACTTTACATAACATGTAAGCATGATTGAAGCGAAAAAAGTCTGATAATTTGACCAGCTTGTCAGGCCTGATGTTGGGGCAGTGTTTCAATATAGGCCTTTGTATTGTAAGCTCTAAATATACCATGTTCACTAATCCATCAGTGTTTGTTTTTTCAAACCAATGATCTATTTTGGAATTTTATCCAAATCCCCGACTAACTCATAGTCTCTGAAAATATATAATTTTGATAGAAACTTGCAACATTTAAATTGAATGGGAGCCCAGTGAGATGGGACATTCAGATCCTGTGGAAAATCTAGACTTGATTTATTTAGGAATAATAGTAAGACCTGGGCAGAGGGTAAATAATATAGTTCTGAGTCTGTGAGACAGACTATCCAAATCCCAACACAACAAGTGATCCAATGTATATGCATTGTGTGATCCATCTTCCCGAGGCAAGGGCGTTAACTTACTATATAAGTCCAGTTTCCACCCTTGCCGAACTAGGCTGGAATTCGGGAGTTACATTTTGGCTGGAGTAACGAGTCTATGCTTAGTCCATTCAAAATCGCGTAACGAACTAAACATTCGGTTCTTAAACAACATGGATTTCAAAGTGCAGATTTCAGTCCACTGCAGGGTTTGCAAAGCATGTGGCCCCTCAAATGGGCGTCATCAGATATCTTGCAAATTATTTAAAGTTTTTAATCAAGGTGCTGAAGTGATTTGATGCACTTCGCGGGGTAAGATTATTAATCAGATCGTCTTGACAGGGCGCTGCCATTTTGTTTGAAGCAAATGCAAGCGATATGAGTGATGGAATCTGATTGGTCAACTTGTTCCCTCTCTTCTCCAGGTCAGTAATCCCTGGTTTGTAGATCATATCCTGGTCGGTCAACCGTCCCTCCAAATTCTCTGTCCTCATTTAATCTCTGACCATGCAGGACTTTTTTACTTTTTACTAATTTAGGACAGGGGGTTGTAACTAGGGGCCATGGTGCCGTTGTACAAAGCGATCTTAGATCAAGGTGATCGTAACCCCCATACCTTAACATAGACTTACGACAGTCATAGGGCTAAGGTTGTTTTGTATAACGGCACCAAGATCTGGGCCCACTTGCAAAAAGCGATCTTAGTGCTAAGATTATCGTAACTCCCATTCTTTAACAAACGCTTACGATAGTCTTAGGGCTAAGATTGCTTTGTGCAAGTGGGCCCTGGTGAATAAGGTGGACGGGAGCAGCCACTGCAATAGAACTGGTGTGAACTGGAACATTGTCCTGAAGGAAGAGAACACCAAGAAGTTGGCATCATATTCACCATTCATAGTTGTTCCTATGGTAAATCATCAATGTGTATTATGCCTTTTCTGTACCACAAGAAGGTGGCCTACCTTATTTATTGGGTCTGGGTGCTGTAAACCTCTCGGGTTTGGGAGACCAAAAGTGTTTCCACTCCATGGATTCTTGTTTGCTGTCGTGATCCTTGTGATGGAGCCAGGTCGACTCACCCATCAATAGCCAATGTCAGTATACAGTGTATACATATTTAACCTTCCTGTCTGGACAACTGGCGGTACATTCTTGATACTTGGTGTGTGACATCGGACAGGTATATAAACAAACGTCTCTTTTTTATATTGTATTGTAACATATAGTGATATATAGTTATGGTTGTATGGTCGTTTTAAATATTAATCTGTGATATTCTAGTTAGTTTACTGTCCATTGATGACATGTTTTTATTTAGTCTAAATATATGTATTCTTAATGCATAACTTCTTGTCACGATACGGAGTAAATAATGCCTCACTCACTCACACACACTGAGTGTAATCGTAGGCCACAATGATGCAGGTGATGAATGTTTACCACAAACATTTCTGTGGTGAAAAAACCCCACAAACAATAAAACAATATACCCCGGGTAGTGGTAAATAAATTTTTATTTTCGTACATAACAAAAACATACACCCATCATTAATCAACATTCATTCAATATTTGACTACACAAACTTTAGAAATTGCGATAAATAGCAGGGTCCAACCCAGCCACTATTTGAGACTTGAGAAACAATGTCAATACCAGTAATCTTTCTCAACTAGTAATTTCAAAAAGAAGGATTTAACATGTTAAAATGAATTGTACACAAAGGTATTTCACACGAGTCCTTTCCTTAATGAACCCCTTAGCCTATTCTGTGCTAAGACAGCACACCAATTTCTCCACTACCCCCATGGCATTTGTTGGGATCCCCCAAAAGAGCGACCAGTGCAGTACTTCCAACTATTTTAACCAAAACAGTTGGCCCCTCACCTTAATAAATATGCAAAACATATTTTCTTTTGGTTCTAATTATAGTCTTTATTGTCTACAGGTGTGCCATGAAGCATGAAATTAATGGAATACTATTTCCCATCCCCAAACATTAACATAGAATTAATCTTGACAATCGGATAGCTGGAATCAATCGTAGACTTAATAATATAAACAAATTCCAAGTTCAACGAATTGACACCATTTTGCAGCAGAGATGAGAAGATACAGATAGTATTCATTCCATCAGTAAATGTACTATAAAAAATAATATCATCTCCCTCCCTGAAGGTGTGCTATTCCAGGCCAACAGTTCCTCTGCAAATGTTGAGGGCTGTTGTATTTGTACCGAAACTGAAAATCGTATTCCACAACCGTATCACAGAGGGCCAACACATCATCTTCTAGTCTTCTTACTTCTTAAATAGTCTTGCTACAAATCAATTTTTTTTCCCACTCAAATCAAATCCAAATAGGTTCCTGAAAATAGATCTGGTTTCATCGGAGTCACTCTTTGGAATAACCATGGTATCCCGTGGATCTGTGGGTTGTCTCCCTTTGTTCTGCCACTGCTCATCAAACGATGTCAGATCATCTGTACAAGAAAATCACATGTAAGTGAATGGTAGTGTACTTATGCTGTCATCAGTATTCCAGTATATCACATCTTCAAGGAAACAAATGTCTTGTCCAGGTAAACCAGTGGTTGGTTGTTAGAACAATGACAAACAATTGTTGTGGTTGCACAATCCTGATTTAACAGTCAGCTTTTACAACATTCATGGGCCCAGTTACACAAAGTATTTGTAGCACTACAACCATCGTAACTTCCACAGTTTCACGTGGACTTGCAGTAGCTGTAGTGCTAAATTCGCTTTTTGAAAAGAGTACCTTGGGACCTATTTAGGTTGGGATTTCACATAGGGAAAGTCATAGTTTTCATCGGAAGGTCCGGGGTTCAATCCCCAGTCACATCATACCAAAAGACGTTAAAAGTTGGTACTTGTTATCCTGTCTGGCCCTCGGAATTAAGGGGCTAAAACAAGGACTGGTCGGCTCAGACTCGGTATATTATGTCTGTGTGAGGTATTCATGTTAAACTGCGGCATGGTATCTCAGTGAGCTAGCACTATAAATCGGCATCAGTCCGGACTAGAACAAGCAGCCACACACACACACACACGTACATGCACGTCGCTATATAAGTGCAATAATCTTTGACCCGACGTTAAGCCCTATTTCACTTCACCTATTGTTATTTTGAAGACAAATCCTTCATCTATGAAGTTTAGGCTGGAACAGTTAACACCACTGCCAATGATTCTGTGTTTTAGAAGTAAAAATACATTGTATTCATAACAGATATTGTTGCAGAGTATTGCACAAAACTGTTTAACGCCCTAATAGACTAAAGCGACCCATTCATTACCTTCACAGTAAAGAGTGCAGGGAATGAAGTACTACCATGTGAAGCTTGCCTACACAGCTTTGACGTAGATATGCAGATGTGGCTCTTCAGGACAGGTGAGCTTAAACACCAATCTCAAAGCCAGACAAATATTTACCTTTATCTATATTTTTCATTGTCTGATTCTCTTCAACAACACCAAATTCATCCTTCTTGGTCCGGATCGTGTGGGATTTGTCTCCGACTTGCCGAGTGACAGTTGTTTCTTCATTCCCATCAGAGTCTATCACGGTCTTCCTCTGTTCAAGTTTCTGTGGGGACATGAAAATATGATGAATTATTGACATGAAGTTACTGCTGTTATAAACAGCACACAAAGAAAATCATGAACCAGCAGTCAAACGAATGTGGAACAGTTCAGTGACATGGCATGTGTGGATTGACCTTTCATTTGCCCAAAATCATAATCCACTTGCCCAAATTACATGTTTTTTTGATACTGCATTTACTGCATGCACAGATCAATGAACTACAGTGAAGTACTTGTGAGACCCGTGAAGATCCGGGGTAGAAGAGGTCTTCAGTAACCCATGCTTGTGTAAAAGGCGACTATGCTTATGTTCCTATTTAACACTGTATTTTAACACTGAACTCAACGTAAAACTAAGCATCAAAGACTCTTCCTCTATATTGGTCAAGTTATCACAAAGCTATAATATTAGTAACTATTAGAGCATGAATTGGGAAGCGCTTAATTTGGGAATTGTACTGACATTAATTTTGCCTCTGAGGTCTATATAAATCCCTGTAATTCCTCCATCAACTGCAGTGTTTGAAATAATCTTAAAACCCAACAAGATAGTCGGGCAGGTGACCTATAAATGTTTCCTGTCCATCGTCAAAGTTACCTGCCCGCATTCATACATTATAAATATTGAAAAATCGTGAAAAATTAAGAGACAAATCACGTCTTGATTCAGTTGAAGTGATGCCAACAAATACTTGAGAATCTACAAGGAATTATAATAAAACTGAAAGCATAAGTTGTCTTATAATTATAGGAAGAAGCAAATTTCATGCAGCCTGACAGAAAAGTTACCGGATAGGGGCAGGCGGGCAAGCAGTTATTTTGGACACTGATCACCTGGGAATACACACAGCTGCTATGTGACGTAGTCAAACAACAAATCAAGCCACAGCCTGGACCAAACAAGTGGGAACCAACCGGTGCTCAGAGTGAGTGAGTGAGTATGGTTTTACGCCGCTTTTAGCAATATTCCAGCAATATCACGACAGGGGACACCAGAAATGGGCTTCACACATTGTACGCATGTCGGGAATCGAACCCGGGTCTTTTGCGTGATGAGCGAACGCTTTAACCACTAGGCTACCCGACCACCCATACTAGTGCTCAGACCAACCAATGCTTTGGTGCTCTATCTGGAATAGCTTTGGTGCCATCTACAGTATCAGGTTCTCAAATGTTCATGCATGGGATTGAGTTATTTAACTTCCATGAGTTTTACCCGACCTTATTTCATTCATTAGCTGACAGACCACCTCCATGGGCTAGTGGATAGAGTGTCTGCCAGGAGATCTGAAGGTCGGGGTGTTTATCCCTGGCCGTGTCATACCAAAAGACATTAAAAGATGGCATGCGCTGTTACCCTGATGCGCGGCATTAAGGGATTAAAACAAGGACTGGTCGGCTCGGAGTCAGTACACTGTGTCATGAGTGGGGTATCCATGTTTAACTGTGGCAGGTTATATGGGTAATACTACGGAAACACCATATCACACACAGGTTGCCTACTCATAATAATGAAAAGATAAATGTCGTACCCCATCAGCTCCTCTTATGGTTGTTATGGAAACACTGCCATGGTGAGAAAATATTCCAGGGCCGTGGGGGAACATCCCCCTTCTTTCTGGCTGCATGGGTGATAGGATTTTTGACAGGTCCTTGCCTTCCACGTCATTGTCCAGATCTAGACATGAAACACTATCAATCCTCAAATTGTAAATAATTAACTTTTGTATTATTTTCAAATTTCTGAGGTTGAATATTGTACCTTCTGTTTAATCTGGTCAAAAACTTCAATCCATTATTTTACTGTTGAGATAAAAACGTTGAATGCTGCCGACATAAAGTTAAAACAATGACAATATTAAACAGGATTGCAAACCTTTGTCCACTTTTTCCTCTTGCTGTATTTGACCAAATCGGGGGACTGTGAAAAATCTCCTAAACTGAAAATATAAACATTTGTGTGATTATAGATCACAGGCATGAAAACAGTTCACAAAACAAAGATCACTGAAAACAATTTGTCTCCAGTGTTTAATGTTAAACAACACAGTAAGCAATATTCCAGCAATATTATGGCAGCCTGTAGCTAATCAAGTCAGGGTCAAACAATCCAGTGACTAACAGAATCAGCAACAATCCATGTCTTTGGGGCACGATGGCACACAGCCAAATGACAGTCTCCCCACTCGATCCTCATCTCAGCAAGTGGTACTGAGGGCCAAGTCTGACCTTGACCTTATAAACTGAGTGAGTGAGTGAGTGAGTGAGTGAGTGAGTGAGTGAGTGAGTGAGTGAGTGAGTGAGTGAGTGAGTGAGTGAGTGAGTGAGTGAGTGAGTGAGTGAGTGAGTGAGTGAGTGAGTCTTCAACACAAATGGGTACATTCGAACACTAGCCCGCTTGGTTCAAGAGTATTCCAGTCATATCATGGAATGTCAGCTTGATGTGGGGTCAGGGGATAGAAAGTCTGCCCAGAGTCAAACCTAAAGACCTTAAACGATGGCAGTTGTTGTTACCCTGCCTGGCATTAAGAAAATATAACAAAAACTGGTCGGTTTGGAGACAGTACACTGTGTCTGATTGGGGTATCCATGTTAAACTCTGACATGGTATGTCACTCAGCTAGCGCTATCAAACAGTTCCAAAACTACCCAGACTAGCACAAGTGTGCCAAAACAGTGCATGTGGCTATTATAAGCAATTATCTTGAATGTGACGTTAAAGCCCATTACACTTGACCCCACCTCACCTTGGTGTGGGAGGAAAGACGGAAGTGATGCAGGTCACAAAACAAACACAAGAGCACCCGAATGGTGCTGACAAAAATAGAAACATGATCAGGGTGAACCAGGATTCAAACCCACAATCATAGGTTGCTTGCACTCCTCAGGGACACAACGCTGCACAGTGCCTTCGATGACTGGGCTAACTGTGCCCCCATAAACTGAAGGAAGTAAGAGTGGGCAGGCCATGTTTCAAGCTCTACCATGAGAAGTAAAGTATAGTACCAGTGATGGGGCATCAAGCCTCGGTTGGTCTTCCAGAGATGGACTGGCGGGGCTTCCCTCCGACTGGCCCGGCTTCAGCATTTTGTCTCGTGGCTTCTGTGTTACAGCTGGCCCACTTGGCTCCCCTGGCAGCACTAGCAGTAACAAAGAGGGGAAAGAATGTTTACTAACTCTCAGCATTATTCATACGTGGTTTCTAACTTAACCTTAGCCACTACAGACACAAATATGTCTGACACTTTGATCACTTACAAATATGTCTGACACTTTGATCACTTACAAATATGTCTGACACTTTGATCACTTACAAATATGTCTGACACTTTGATCACTATACAAATATGTCGGACACTTTGATGACTATACAAATATGTCGGACACTTTGATCATAATGCAAATATGTCGGACACTTTGAGCATAATGCAAATATGTCGGACAATTTGATCACTATACAAATGTCGGACACTTTGATCACTATACAAATATGTCGGACACTTTGATCACTATACAAATATGTCAGACACTTTGATCATAATGCAGATATGTCGGACATTTTGATCACTTTACAAATATGTCGGACGCTTTTATCACTATACAAATATGTCGGACACTTTGATCATAATGCAAATATGTCAGATGCTTTGATCACTATACAAATATGTCGGACACTTTGATCACTATACAAATAAGTCGGACACTTCGATCACTATACAAATATGTCAGACACTTTGATCACTATACAAATATGTCGGACACTTTGATCACTATACAAATAAGCCGGACACTTCGATCACTATACAAATATGTCGGACGCTTTGATCACTATACAAATATGTCGGACACTTTGATCATTATACAAATGATACTATCACCCGTTGTATGGAATTTGTTTAAAATATTAAGATTGATCACTGTTCAGAAAAAAGGCTATCCATGAATGGATGTGACACTGTCTGCCAGGTAATAGCTGATAGATGGTCACCCTTCCAAGTACTAACCAAATTCTGCAGCTCCATGTTCAATATAGACCTTATTTCCATATTTGAAACACCTCTTATTGCAACCAGAGGGAAGAAATGTGAGACCTATTCTGCCAAAGATGTGCTACAGGATTGTTAAGTTCTTAGTACTAGGTAAAATATTTCAGTTAAAGGATATGTTTTTCTTGTATACAGACACTACAATGAGCAAGATGAGAAGATTACCGGGATAAGAATAAAACTATTATGTCTGAGCATTTATTGAAGCAGCCATAAAATCTCTATATCAGTCTATCATACCCTCCAATCAATATTCCCTTTGAACAAACAAAAAAACAAACAAACAAACAAACAAACAAAAAGTCTAAAGTCACCAAAATGTAACGAACAGTGTCCTAACTCAAAATCAAGGCAAAACAGAGATCAGTTTAGTATGTTTCGCCACAACGAGGTGGCCTAATGCTAGTCTAGAGCTCCACGCTACCTGAAGGAAAGTCCACTGCTCCGAACTGTTTGAACATTTCCTCCATCTGCTGATTGAGACTGTCCATCTGTTTCTGCATTTCGTCATGGAAGTGATGGAACATGTGGTCTGTGTCAGTGCCATCATCATATTCAGCAAAATCATCATCATCGTCATCAAAGAATCTGTACAAATGAATATGTATGATTGTCAAATGATGTCACGTCTAGCCCACAAGGTACTGCACATGTGAAAGCCAAACAACCCTCGGGCCTGGTCAGATTAACTTGTGTCAGAACCATTATACTGTCTTCTGTGTCTTCATGATGTACCAACTTTGAAAGTAAGCCCTAAAGTTCTACATTTGTTTCCAATTGATGAGCAAGATGTTTGTGGTGATAATCAAGATAGTGAATATGACCTGTCATTGAATAGAGTCAACTTCTTATACATACTACAAACTGCTGTTTATGTACCGGTATATATAAAGCAGCATTAGAAATTGGCACTAGTCCTGTAGTCCTTGCCCAACAGCCCAATAGTAAAGGAATCATAAGGACCAGTAGAAATTTTCCATTTTTAAGGGTATTGCTCTATGTTATCATTGTAAGGACCAGTGGACTAAAAATGTTAGTTTTTACTGCTGTAAAGTGGCACACGATTTGACCTAAGAAATTCAAAAATGATATTCATAACCATGATAGGTGAGGTGAAATTGGGTTTAACGTCGCGTCCAAGATTATTGCACTTATACAGCGACGTGCATGCACGTGTGTGTGTGGCTGCTTGTACTAGTCCGGACTGATGCCGATTTATAGTGCTAGCACACTGAGATACCATGCCGCAGTTTAACATGAATACCCCACTCAGACACAGTATATTGACTCCAAGCCAACCAGTCCTTGTTTTAGCCCTTTAATGCCGAGCGCCAGACAGGGTAACAACAAGTACCATCATTTAACGTCTTTTGGTATGACGCCACCGGGGATCGAACCCCGGACCTTCCGCTCTCCGGGCGGACGCTCTACCACTAGACCACGGAGGCGGTCTCATAACCATGATAACAATACAGTACAAAATCACTGCAAACTATGCCTGTGTTCTGAAGTAGGGTATAGTGCTTAAGGGCTACTTTCAATTATTTTAGTCTCAGAATGAATAATGAAAGTTGTCAACAAAATTGTTCATTTTGCTACTGTGATCAATATAACTTGTACCATGAATTTGGAGAATACTCTATTCTGACTGGTAAGTCAGAGGTTTCAAATCAAAACAACCACATCAGATTGAAAAAGCTGATTTGACAAACACATCACCCACAGAAGCTACTATTTATGCAAATTAACAATTCACTGGAGAAACCACAATAGAAATTGTTCAAGAGATTGCATCTCAAGTTTAAGGGACCCAGAGAGATTCAAATTTGGTACTTATCAATGTCCAGCTGTCACATCATATCTTTTGTGTGACAGTGAGCAGTGTGACAACTGACATAAGTGCAGAACCTTGCAAGGTTTGCTTAATTCTTCCTTAGGGGTGCTAACTGATTACAAAGTAACTGTGCTACACACTTTAAATGCCTGCCATACATGCCATACATGTAACTGTAATATAAACTATACAATGTGAACAAAACACTGTTTGAGCACATGTCCAGTTCTAAAGTCAACTTAGCATGATTTAATCTATTTAAGACCTAGTTCTACATTGAAAACACAATACATGTATATTCATATCCTAATTAATCTATTAATCAAACAGATAGCAATTCAGAACCAGATTCTGAAAAAAACCCAAAGATTAACCAAAAGAAACTTGTTCTGAAACAATAGTTTTTTAAACAAAAACATCCAAAGTTCCGCTGAGAACTTATCATCCACAACAAATCATGTTTACACCTGCAGTACATCTGTTCCACAGCTACCAGCTGGTTCCCTTCTGGCAACAGGAACATTTTCACAACTCAACAATCCACTGAACACTTATTGACCAGGATTACGCTTCTGGGGAAACATATACAGTCAATGGACACTCCATTTATCAGCAGAAACATATACTGGTAGATGACCCTGGTAGACATTAGGGCTCTTAGGAATCACTCGCGTATTCGGTGAATCGAACGGTATTCATTCATGAATTGAATTCGTTATTCGCGGCCACTAGAATCGAATATTTATGAATATGCAATCATGTGCATTTACATACCCTGTACCTAAAAATATCCATAAGAACATATTATATGCAAAGATGTCTTCAAAAGACAACACTCTCATAATGTTTAATTTGACAGTATTGTGGTCACTGGTCATTGTCGCATTTGTGCAGATACTAGTTCCTGGATAAGTGCCGTATATAAATGTATAATATAATATTAATTAACAAACCATGTCAAATAATCTATGTTGTTATTGTTTCACTGAATATAACAAATAATACATCAACTGCTGACTTGTTATTGTATTCATGAATTGCTATTCGTATTCGTTACCCTATATTCGTGATACGAATCGTATTCGCTTCATAGTGTATTCATTGCAGCCCTAGTAGACATCTCCTGCTAACCGCCCTGTTCCACTATTGAGCACTCCCTATCAAAATTTCAGACAATCTGTAAGAAATTTTAATAAGCATCCCCTACAAAGTCCAAACATTTACATGACAGTCAGTATTTTCTTGTGTATATTACAGATGTTTACAGAAAACAGCAGTGTAGAAGGGATATATAATTGCCTTGTAACTATTATAAAAAAAATGTTAGCTTCACCAACATTTGAACTAAACTTTTCACTAACACTCAGTCACGAACAAGTTAACTTGTGCCTGGTTTTAACAAGACCCCATCAGCTGCCAAGTGTTATCTGGGAGCATAGTACAAAACGTAATCAGTGACTTAATCACTGGTTTAATCATACATCTTTATCAAAATAGATTATGACCAAAACAAACTTTACTTGGGTATGGTTTCAGTAAGCACTGCCCGTTGCCAACATGCGCTTATTACGCCGAATACTGTAACTTAATTAGGTTACCAAGCCCTAATCATTGCTCACGTAATCGGCTCCCAAAGTTTTATCTGGGGGGATATATTAATAAACTAATCTAATCACTTGTTTAATTATCATTATCAAAACAGGTTAAGACCAAAACGATCCCATGCCATAGAGTTAGAACTAAACTCAAAAGCTTTACTAGCCCGGGTAAAAACTTGCAGGCTAGTTTTTTTTACTTGCAGGCTAGTTTTTTTTACTTGCAGGCTAGTTTTTTTTACTTGCAGGCTAGTTTTAACTTTTAACCCTGCTGCCATTATGGCCCTCGGATCTTGGTAATCATTCATTCTAAATTTCTATACATTTTAAATTTGAACACATAGACACTGGTTGTGGCATTTCAAGGACTTGGAATAAATTTGCTGTGACAGTCTATTTCCTCAAGCCTAGAATCTTCTTAACATTGCACTCAGTAATATTCAAGCCATATGAGGGAGGGATATATGTAAATATTCAAGTATGGACAAGAAAAACCAGTGATTGATATTAGGAAAAAACCTCGCCATTGGGGTGTAATAATACTACTACTAATAATGATAATAAAAATAATAATAACAATAATGCAAAACACAGCATATGAACATTTATATAGATACAACAGAGAGGGGACAGTCTGATGACGAAAATATACACATGCAGAGGACATAATGGGGGCAGAAAATAAAACAGGCTTGTATGGATTAATTACAGTAGAACATGGATATAACGAACAACAAGGGACCAGAAAAATCAGTTTGTTATATCCGTTGTTCGTTACATACGTCTTCTCTCGGAAACTTCCCCCATCTTGGATAAAACAAAACACAATACATGTAATTGCAGCACTGACTTGTATTAGAAGTTATCACTTCATAGCATTCAATTGATAACATTTCATAACATTCATTTAATAACTCTTACTATAGCCCGCCATGATAGCATGTGAAAATGAACTGACACTTTGACACCATCTCATAAAATTTATATATTTCATGTCTGTTTTACAGACAAGATTAGTCCAATAACATGTAAAGGTAAGATTAACACAATGCAATAACATTGTTTAACAAGGTTGATCAATCACTGCTGATTGCGTACAGCCAATTGTCAGTGACACTTTACACTGTGTGAGATTTATCAGTTCGCTATACACGTCACTAATTAATGGTAGATTGGCTTGTCAGTGATCAGATATCAATTCGCTATATCCGTTAGTTTGCTGTAGAGCATTCGTTATGTACATAAATTTTATATAACATTATATAGGAGATAAAACGGGGATTTGTTATATCCTTTTGTTCGCTCTATCTGTGTTCTACCGTAATATGTTAGGCAATACAAATCAGGGCCTGCTACCTGTAATGTGGTTGTGGGCCGCTGTGACCACACATTTTACAAAAAGGCCTTTGGACAACTGATTTTATTCCTATCTGATTCAAGATCCGGGGTAGAATAGGTCTTCAGCCACCCATGCTTGCCGTTAAAGGCGACTATGCTTGTCGTAAAAGGCGACTAACGGGATCGGGTGGTCAGGCTCGTTGACTTGGTTGATGCATGTCATCGTTCCAAATTGTGTGGATCAATGTTCATGATGTAAATCACTGGATTGTCTGGTCCAGACTCAATTATTTAATACCCTGAATCTCAAAGGTGATGTTCGGTATGAACTCAACGTATATGACCAATACCAATCACTGAGTATATCATTTTGTTTTAACATATGTATTTGTTATTGGTCAACAGGCAGTTTGCAAAAATGTCGAACAATTTGTTCAAAGTCCAAATGTACCAGGATCCTTTAAGAAAAGTCTGACAAATCCCAAATATAACAGAGATGTTTGGTCACGGAGACTTCACTGCCACCCCATCTGCCGATGAATATTACAGGTATTAGGCCTATTACATAACGTCAAAGCCAACCCTAGAATCACCTGTCATTTCTGTTGCGTTCTGACCCATCAAATCGATGTCTGTTAAATCCAAATATTCCACGAAAGAGATCTCTTGGGTCCATGGCTAACTCTTAAAACAACACCCTGCTACCTCAGCTACGCGTCTTGTTTCAGATATATATCCTTGCATCATCTAAAACGGCCTCGGGATTGTTCCCATCGCCATCTTTGGCCGAGCATTTATTATTGCAAAGATATATATACTACAACAATACTTGAAATAAACACAATAATACCTTTTCTCTCTAAATATATCTACCAAACATGTTATACGCCTCCAACCGAATATACTGATTCTAGAAAGCTCATTAAAAGGCACGGTTTCAATGCGTAGCGTTTACACTAAATGATTTCTCCCTCACCTCCAACCTTTGACAGGTCATTTGGGGTCAAAGGTCACGAGCTAATGTCTGGAGTGTTATAACATTGCATTTACCGACAGTGCGTGAACAGACGTTGTCAACTGCAGGCAGACGAGAGTCGCTTTACTGTAGGCTTCGTTCAGTCAGTAAACATGGGTGAGCAAAAACGTGACGACAACTACTACCACGACCTAGCCAAACAAACAGTAGCAACATGTCGAGGATATTACAACGATGACAGTGGATGGGAGGTAGCAAAGAAAACGGTATGTCAGTGATTCGATAATATATTGATTGTGTTACATTGTGATATAAATGTTTGGAGCGTTATGACATTTATTGGACTTATCGCTGGTTTATTATGCGGTGATATCCATTCAACATGTTATCGTATTAGGATGAGAAATGAAATAAAAGATTCATAAATTATATTAAGAAGGTCAAATTGTTTCTTTGAAAATAAATATAGAATTTTAATGTTATTATTGTTTAAGGATATTTTATTTTGTTCCAATGACGTCGGTTATTATTAGTAGTAGTATTAGTATTAGTATTATCATTATTATTATTATTATTATTATTATTATTATTATTATTATTATTATTATTATTGTGTGTGTGTGTGGGGGGGGGGGGGGGGGGGGGGGGGCTTTTGAGAAGTATTGAAATATGAAAACTAATTTATAGTGAATCAATTTAATTAACAAAGAATTCATTTAATATCACAAGTCCAACATTCATGTTTTCATGAAACTGGGATTTATGAAGAAAATTTGACTGTATTAGTTTTTACAATTTATCCCAAATCACGGTTTAGTTGTCTAATGGCCATTCCTAAGACTGATAAGTCTAATGCTTTGGTAATTATCACAGTTCTTATAAACACAATTTTATTTTTATTTTTCATGACAAAAACTGAACAGCCAATTTCTTATGTGTAAACTAATAAATATGAACTTTATGGACAGGCAGGGTTTTTTCAAAACTTGCATCGTGGTATGCATGGATTTTGGAACTAATGAGGAACAAGTCTATTTTTCACATCGCAGACGTGTCGGGATCATAACTCTCTCCTGTACATACATAACCCAGTCAAATAAGTCCTCATATTACACACTCTGCCAAACATCATGGCATTCTCACTGGAAATAACTTTCAAAAAGTGACAACCCATCGGGTCATATCAGTTGTTTATGTACCCAATGGATTGTTTTTCATGAACCTTAATGTGTATTTTTAAGTTTTATCATGTGCTTTTTGTGTCTGTAAATAATTTTCTTTGAGGGAATAACACATTTATCTTGAGTTATGAATGAAAATTGTGTTACATAAACATTAAACATTCTGATTTATTGCATTTATATCCTGTTTTGCACCACTTCTGAATGTCATATCAATTCTCATCATTAGGCCCTAGAATACACATTAATGTTTCTCCTCACAATTCTTTACTCAGTGGTTTGGCAAACTTGTATTTTTCATCATCACGTGTGTTATCATTTTGATGTCTGTCATTTGAGTTTCAGAATTTTGAATGTTTCCATCTTCCAACATTTCGTGTTTGCCAGAACACAAAAAACTGCATTGCAATGACTCATTCTGTCTTTATCATGATATGAAACTTTTTAATAGAACACATTAGAAACTGGATTTAGATTTAGCATATAAATATATAAAAAAATCAGGGAGTGTAAGAATTTAAGTTTTGGGCGGTGATCATAGGAGAAACAAGATTTTGATGGCCTTCTTCAAGTTGATGTTTGAAGCAGGCAATCACAATGAGCCTGGTTTAAGGGTCACGTAGTCAGTATGCATAATATCTTAAAAGAAATTGAAACTTTCGGTTTATATTCAACAGCATTATCACGATACTTAAATGTTTTGTTTTCCACCGTAACTGATTTACATAAATTTAAGCCTCATTTTCACTGACAGTGAAATCCATTGTAATATCATAATGTCAGTGTACTTAGTTCAAGTGCTCAGAAACCTGTGGAGATCTGGGTAGAGGACAGGCCTTCAGCAACCCATGCTTGTTGTATGAGGCGACTAACGGGATCAGGTGGTCAGGCTTGCTGACTTGGTTGATGCATGTCATCGTATCCCAATTGTGTGGTTCAATGCTCATGATCTCAGTCACTGGATTGTCTGGTCCAGACTCGATTGTTTACAGACCGCTGTCATATAGCCGGAATATTGCTGAGTGAGGCGTTAAACAAAAAACAAACAAACAAACAAACAAGTGCTCAGGATCAGGAAGAAAAAAATAATTCTTGAACGCATTCATTTAAGAAAACTAAACCTTTCCTCAGCTGTTACGTAGTTATGTAGTTATGTAATTGATAACACATCTATTTCATGGAGCCCCCACATGTACACGCAGCCTATGAGAAACATGTTTCTACTAAGTAGGCAGGATATGATGTGCGATCTGTGGAAGCCATGACATTCTGTGCAAGGAAGTTGGGGAGAGAGGAGGGTCCATTCATAAGACCTCACACTGTTTGCAGGGTTGAGTAACAGCGACTGACGTACACAGAATTCTTGGCCTTCCCAACGCCCTCAACTGTATGGTGTTATTGTGATTTATGGACTGGGTCTGTGAATGTTGTGTCATTAACTCAATTGCCCTAGTACTTGTCTTACTTCACTTGGCCCTCTTGGGAACTTTGTTGAATTAGCTATTTGTAATGTGAGTTTAGTTGACTTCAGGTCATATCAAAAGGGTTGCAAGTTTTATTCAATAGGTTTCAATACTAAGTACTTGTGGAGACAATGATCTGTATTTATAGAACATTGTTTGGTATTGTTGTTAAATTTCAAGGATTGGTTACCATGAACTTCTTTTGACATTGGTTACCATGAACTTCTTTTGACACTGGTATGGAATTATTTAATGTGTTTGTTCAGGTAGTATAAAATATGGTTGGGCCACTCTCTGTGTGAATCTCTCGTGTGAAACTTGATTGGTGATTTTAACAAGGAGGGTACTCCCTTTTCTTAGTGTTTAAAAATAGAAAATGAAATACCGGTAGTTCAAAAGACATGTTAATCAGTTTGCATTATCATTACCTAAGGTTTCCATCAGGTGATAGATTTTAGAATCTAATACTTATCAATGTTATCAGATGTCATTTTTTAAATGAAAATGTTGGTTTACCTTTCATCAATTTAAATCACCAGATATATCCAGTTAAAGACAGGAGTTACACAGGTTCCTTTCCTATCTGTGTGGGGATTTTACTAATTCAGTGTAATAGAGGAGTCTGGCTTTAGTTTCAAGCCTGACTTGCTAAGCCTTGGTGGTCCGAAGAGCCAAGAGTTGATCAAAGTCTTTATTTAGCAACCTTATCAACCTGTTTCCTGCTCTCTAAAACACTGAATTAAATTTCTGCCTGGCAATGCCACTGTTTGGGCACACCAGGGCTTGTTCCTAAGGTGTATTCAGTGTGCTTGAAGATTGTCAATTTCTGAACCAACAAAGACTCATATCTAAAGTGGATCCATATTGATATTGATTTCCGTTGAAAACTTGACACAGTTTGGTATTAATAACTGGTGTTCAATTGGGTTTGAAAGATATGATACTTAAATAGATGCTTTTGGCACAATTATCAATTTGATAAGATAACTGCAAGATAAAAATATTTTGTTTAAGTAGTTTATGATTAGACATGTGAAGTTTAGACAGTATCTCTGATACAGTTCAAGGCACCATAGGGATTCTTGGTTAGATCCCATCTTATTCCTGTTGTAAGAGATGATACAATTGGGATTGGTTGGTTACAAAGTGTGACCTGGCTGATTGACTTGACAGTGATGACTTGATTGTAGGTCATGCTATTTACCACTGGTTTAGCTCACTCACTCACTCACTCACTCACTCACTCACTCACTCACTCACTCACTCACTCACTCACTCACTCACTCACTCACTCACTCACTCACCCACTCACTCACTCACTCACTCATTCATTCACTCACTCACCCACCCACCCACCCACCCACCCACCCACTCACTCACTTTTTATCTTTTGCTGACATAATCACACGTAGCAAATGTTGCATTTTTGCTACATCCTACCACTCGCTTAAAGCTTCCATCTATATCATTATTATTTAATAGCCGTGTTCGTATTAAGTAGAAACGTCTGTATTAAAGAGAATGTAATTAATGATAGTCTTACATATTTGATATCAGCTGATAATGGATAACTAGCCTAATGATTACTTAATTCATATGTAGTGAAAAGGATTATTGTATATTCAGGGTGAAAATTAATTTTAGTTTCAGATTAGTTATTAAACCAAATGAACCAACAAGTGATAAGAAAGAAATACAAACCTGATAACATAATTGTAGATCTAGCGTAATCGTAAACCAACAGGATGACCTTGTTTGCAGGGGGAAAAGCACTTGCTAGACATGGTAATTGCACTGCTATGTGAACCTACGTTTACCTACACACTTGAATAAACAATCAAGTTTAAAACTGACTTTGGCACAACATCCAAATGTCGCATACACAAGACAAAAGGTTATATTAGTATGATTAGACTGACAGTGCACTTGGCAACAACGTTTTGGAAGAACGGAATAAATTATCGTTTTCTATATTTTTATTTTTTTCTACCTATTGACCAGGATTTGTAAATATGAACTCTATAAACAAACAAATATAAAAAGTCGACCTATTTTGAAACTGGTAGTACAATATCCTACATCTGAGTGAAGGATTTATTGTTATGAATCATTGATATTTGTACAAAGCTGATTGGTCAGTTATGTCACTGCGTAGACCAATTACAAGGACTGGTTATGGTTAATTGCCCAATTCTATCATCTTACTATAGTTATATGCCATAACAGATCAACTACAGTGATATGAAAGAATCGATATTCTTTAACTTCTTTTGACTAGCATATAATCTGTAACTCCTCTGCAGCTCATTAGGTATTCTCTAAATAGTGTACAATCCTTTCCCCACATTTCAAATTCTTGACATAGCACAGTGTCTATATCTGATTCAGGTGCACAGAGCCTCAAGTGAAACCCACACCTTTACTTTCAGCTGTTAATGCATAATGAGTTTCTCAAAGGAACAATTTACACGACATGTTGCACATAGCAAGGAACATGGGGCTTTTTGACCCAGGGATAAGCATGCGGCAACACAAACAGACAAACTAGTACAATATGGCACGGACAATCGAGCCAGGCACTCTATGCATTAACATCCCTTTGTCAATCCCTTGCCTTCCCAC